GTATCACAGAAGCATGCAAGCCACCACAATATGGCAAAATGATGGCCAGGTGGTGTATACAGTAGGTTGGGACAAATTAAAAACTTTGAGTGGTTACTGAAGTTAAGAATATTGGATTTTTTTCTGTACACAATGTGTGTGTTTTATTAACAGAATAGCTATATCAAAACTGCATTAGGCAATTTAAAGACACTATGTAAACTGCTGAAATAAGAAAGAAACTGGCAACTGGCTTTTTAAACCAGTTACAGTGTTGGTCAGGAATTTTTTTAGTAGTAAGCAAATCCAATAAAATACATATTTTTACTTTGTATGTGATACATATAATATTTTTACTCAGTAGCATTGGTACCTGACATTGCTGTCTTTGTCAGTATTTTAAGCTTTCCATGTTTTGTTGTGAGCCTCGTGACTTTTCTCTGACACCTTAGTATGAATTTGCAATGCATGTGTTCCTCCTTTTGTTAATGTCAGCGTAGCACATGAGATACTCTCTGTTGCTATGCAACTGCCAAATCCAATATTTAATATTAATAAAACTGAATGACATTAACATTTAATGAACAGAAGGTAACAGAATATGGCTTTATAGTAGTCAATAAAATGAATAAAGTTTACTGTATTGTTACAAATATGAGGAAAAAGAATGTCATGTTAACAGTTACTATTTGTATAAAAATTAGTTGTGGTCATATCTTTGTATTTGTGATAAAATTTTTTCCTAGTAGGTTTATTTTGGACTTCCTCACTTTTGGTTTTGATTTTTTTGTTACATTGTTGTTAGTATTTGTGTGCTGTTAACTTTTTTTATCCTATTTCATTATTGTTTCAACTTCTTTTGCCCCTTTTTGTTTTTATTTTGTCATTCAAAACCATTTTATAATATTAATTACAAGTGATCAGTGCTGTTTATCACTAAATCTAATCAAATCCTCACATTATTTTATCTTTTTATTGTTGTCATTTTTTTTTTAATGTGTGTACCGTCAAATTGGATCTGACTGGTACAGGAGGCGATTGATTGTTCCTCCTTCTTCAGCAGAGCATCTGGTGGATTTGAACCACACACCTCTGGGATTATTTTATCTTTTTAATGAAAAAAAAAATCTGTTCTCTCTCAAAAGCTTTGATTCTCCTCCTGTTCCCTCCTTCCTCCTAGTATTACTGCTTGCTTTTGTTCATGTTGTTTTCTTTTTAAGAGTTTTGGATTAGAAGTGCATGGTTCAAATCCACCAGATGCTCTGCTGGAGAAGGAGGGGCAGTCTCCTCCTGTACCAGTCAGATCTAATTTGATGGTACACACCAAAAAAAAAACGAGTTTTGGATTAATATGCAGGTTTTTAATTTGCATTTACTCTTCAGAATAAGAGCTACCTTTAATCTGTTACTGATGTAGTACAATAAATTTTGTGCTTATAATGGGAAGATCATCCGTTAAATCCACTGGTTGCTCCATGGGAGAAAGATGAGCAGGCAGTCTTTTTTTAAAAAAATATTTATTTATTTAATGTGTGTACCGTCAAATTGGATCTGACTGGTACAGGAGGCGATTGTTCCTCCTTCTTCAGCAGAGCATCTGGTGGATTTGAACCTTGCATCTCGGATTGCAGTGCAGTTTCCTGCCCCTAGGCCACCAGAGCTCGCCGAGCAGGCAGTCTTGTAAAGATTCACAGCCTTTAAGAAGATGCAGCAGAAGTTCACTGTGTATTGTTGTCGACTCAGAGGCAATGGATCTGATAGTTTTAAAAAAATTTTTTAATGACTATTGTAGTTTGTACTTGGTACTTTCAACATAATAAAATATTTTCATTAATGTTTGTGGTATCAGGAGGAGAGCCTTTTTTTTAAGATATTGCTCCTGTTAGGTGCTATTGAGTCAGCTGGGAGTCTTCATTGATCCTGTGAACAGATCATAAACTGGCTTTGTTTTGTGCTAGAGACATTTAAGAGTTGGAGACAGATAATAATATTAATTTGAAAAATTGGCAAATGTTTGAGACTATCAGATCCTCTGGTCCAAGATAAACTCCAGTTAAAAAAAAACCCAACAAATCCAAACCTCAGGTATTTGAGACTGCTTCGTCTCCTGGGCCAGAATGAATAATTCTAGGAATTTCTTCTCATCTTTTTAGCACACCCTCCTTAGAAATGCTTTAATTAATTACAGGAAGCAAATATAAGTAGACGTTGATACCACCTCTCCTGTACTTAAATAGATTTTGTTGTTGTTAAGTGCTGTTGAGTCAGGGATGACTCACAGCAACATTGTATACAACAAATCTGAACAATATCTTGAATCATCCTTATCCTTGACACATTTGAGCCCATTGCCCCACTTTCATCAGTCCATCTCATTGAGGGTCTTCCTGTCCTTCACTGACCCTCCCCCCTTTCCAACCGTGATTTCCCTTTCGAAGCAATAGCCTCTCCTACCAATATGAAGTTTTGCCATCATTGCCTCCAAGAAGCACTCTACTTACATTTTCTCCAAGATACTTGTTCTTTAGACAGTCCATGGGATATTCAGCACTCTTCTCCAACACCAAAGCTCAAATGCATCGATTTTTCTCTTGTCATCCTCCCGCCCCATTTTCATAATTGAAATTTTATATCCACAGCATTGCTCTTGTTTCTTGCCATGTAGACATCTTGGCTAAGCCATTCAAGATAGATCACTTAGTCCAACTTGCTAAAGGCCATTATCCTTGGCGTACTGACAGAAACACTAACAGCACATACTGAGTCCGTATTTCCCTATTTTGTCCATATTGAGCCCATATTTCTAGATCAGTCTGTGCTGACTTGAGCGCACACGACAAGAGTGGGAAGCACCAAGGCAAAAAGACCAAGACTGTGCACATGTGCTCTCTTCAAGTCTCTTGATACAATTTACCTTCTCTTGTCCTCCTTATTCATTGTCCCTTTCTTGGGCGCATAACTGCTGATTGAAAAGACAGTGGCTTGAATTAGATATTTCTTAGTCTTTAAAGTGACATTATTGCTCTTCAGAATTTTGGAAAGATCCCTGACAGCTGACTTTCCCAAGAAGTCTCCTGATATAAAGAGACTTAGAAACAGTTGTTTCTTAATAGCATCAGGAGTGTGAGAACAGTCAACTAATTACAATGCATAAAACAGACTGCAGATTTCTTTATTGAAATTACTTCTTTAATCCTAAGGACTAGAAAATTTCTTTATGTCATAATGTTATCCTTAAAACTGATAAAATGTTGTTTCTAGTGATCATCTTTGTTATCATCTTCCAAACCTTTGTTGTGATTATAGTAAAGAAATGCTACCTTTGTGCAAACTTCATGCTATGACATTTTAAATTCTTTGTCTTATTAACTATTGATTCTGCCTTATGACAATACAAGCTTGGTCTTCCTGTTTGGTTTTTCTAGCCCCATGTCTTTTCACATATTATTATAAATTACTTGGTTTTCCTGAACCACCCTTTGAAATGTTCTTTTCTGCTTTTTTTTCTTCATTATTACTTGGTTTGCTTTTAGCTACTCTATATTCAAGTTTCAGACTCTATTCTGACATCCGCTTTGATAGCCCACCTTTTGTCTTTTTAATAAACTTTTGTTTTCTTTTTATATAATGTTCTTTAAAAAATACAGTAATATTATTGATGTCTGTTCCATAACTGATCTAGTCTCCTGGTTATTAATGTTCAGTTTACTTTTGAGATGGTCTCTAAATTCAGGTGGGAGATACTCAAATTTGATTCTCATGGACTTTCATTTTTCTCACCTTCAATTTGAATTTGCATATATGAACATTTGGTAATCTGTTCCACAGACCTTGTTCTGACTAAAGGTACTGAGCTTCTCAATTTCTCATTCCACTGATGTGGTTGCTTTCGTACTTGTGTTTTCCAAAGAGTGAAATGTTACATATGTCATTACTGTTTTATGTTTGTTATGTTATGTAAAATTTGCCAATAAATAAGTCATTAGTCTTGCAGAGTACTATCATATCTCACATTTCTTTTTTTTTTAAAGCATGGAGACCATATTATCCAACTACAGATTCTTCTGTCCAGTTCTCATATAACAGTTAACAATACTAATCAGTGTGTCTTGATTGCATATATAATAAACTTTAGCCTTCAGAAGTTTATAATATCCTGTTTCTTCAACTTTGGTGTTAGTGATTGGTGGTTATATTTTAATAACTCTCATACTAACCTATCGTTCTTGTAGGTGGATGGAAATTGCTCCATCAGTGATAGCATTTTATTATCAGAATAGATCTTGAAATGTTCTGTTTGATGGTGAATGTCATTCAGGTCTTATCTGTTTGTGAGTTTTATGTTTATAAAATATTATGGCACTATGAAATAATACAGAACTTCTTTTACTATGTGGTTATTACTGTTGTCACTAAGTACTGTCAAGTCAGAGCTAACTCGTAGCTGACACTCCAGCATGTTTTTGAGGCTGTTTATGTTGTGGCTTTTTTCTTTAGGGGTATAGAAGTTGCTCTTAGTGAGAATTTTCCTTCAAGAAACATAGTTTGAAAAATCTTGGTTGATACTCAGAAAAGTGCTTTCTAGATTCAAACAGTATGTCCTAGACATATTGAGGCCATTTTAATGCCTTCTTTGAGAAAGGTACCATTTAGAGATTGTAAGAATTTTTGATGGTTTTGTAAGAAGAGAAGAGGACATAGAAATTTTTTTTGTTGATTAATTTGTACTGGTTTATTTTTGTATGTGCTCATAATTTATGTTCTAACTTAATCATTGACAGAAATATAAAAGTTCATCTTAGATTGTTGTTGACACCTTCTCAGCATTTCTTTAACAGTATTTTAGGGATCCTTGAGCAGCGGAAGAAAATGCCATCTTTTTCATGTAGTACATTTATATTAAGTTAGTAGATCTATCTATCTATCTATCTGTCTATCTATCTATCTATCTATCATCCATCTATCTGTCTGTCTGTCTATCTATCTAGATAATGGATTTTTGTTTTTATTTATCCTTTCAGGGTTTGAAAGTATTTTTGAAGGGCTGTTTGGACCTGGATTGTTAAACGATCTCAGTTTGTTTAAAGGTATTCAATTCCCTTCCCCATCCCTGTTTGAGGTGTTTTTTTGTTTGTTTGTTTGGTTTTTTTTTTCTTCCTGATTCTTCATAGTGACTTATGATATCAAACACCAGTCAGAATGATAGCATTAGCAAATTATAAACTGCAGTGTTGTATGTAGTACATATTGTTGTTGTTGTTGATTGCCTTTGAGTCAAGCACAACTCATAGCGAACCTAAGAATAAAAGGCCTGAAGCCCCTCTACAGCCATCGACATTTATTAAAGTTCATAGAGTTTCCAGAGGCATGTTATTTAGGAAGTAGATGCCACTCCTGCTTCCAAGTAGTACATACATATTACCAGTAAGATATACTACTTTTACCCCTGCCCCTTGGAAAAAACCTCACAGTCATATAGCTGGTCCATTGTAACTCAGATGAGTCGAAATCATATGTTTATGATTTAAATCAAACGATTTAAGCCTTTGTGTCCTTCTGTTGGCTTTTATTCTCAACTTCATGTAGGTTAAAGCTGTATTCATATCTTTGTTTAGTTGATAATCAAATGAGCACACAGAATCAGAATTTTAAGCAAATATTTAATTTGTCTAGATCAGTGGGAATTTTTTGTTGTAGTTGTAACAAGCAATAGTTTTTAAGTTACTTTACCTTTTTCTGCTAAGTTCTTTATAATTATTAAGTTATTTCTCTTGTTTTTGCAGACTGTGAACCTGACAGCATTTCTGATTGGACTTTTGATGAAAATTGTCTATTCTGTTGTTTGAGAAGAGACAAAGTAAAGGTAACCAAGAGACTTGTGAATCTTTGGTGTAGTGTGACATTTAAAAAAATGTTTTTAAAAGGGTTTTTTTTAATAATTCTTGGAGAATGTGTAGGAAAAGGAAGATATATGTCTATATTTATTAATAAAAATATGATAGTAACTGGATTTTACAGTTTAAATAGTATCCATTTGGTTGATTTAGTCTATTGAGAAGAAATCCCAGCATGCATAGCTTTATTTGTATAGTTCTCTAGGCAAAATAATTAACTGGGTCTCAAATTGTTCTTTTTAAGAATGAAGTATATGATAACCCAAGTAATGGGAGTCATTTATTGTACAAAACCAACAGTAACAGGGATTTGAATCAAGCATTATTGATTCATATAGATTTATGATGAATTAGGTTTTAATATTTCAGTAAAACCTTTTTAAAAATACCTGGGCATGTAGTGTGAAACTAATGTTATCTTATTCTAAAGGCTGGTTATATTCATTTGTGGAATGTAGCTGTACCTTTGGATTTTTTATTTCATTATTTTGTGTTAGCCATTAAAAACATAATTATCTAGAAACATTTTTTAGTTATTAGAAGCATACTAATAATGGTCACTGTCTTTATTTTTCTATTCATAGTTATTTTCCCAATTTTAAAGCCTTGGAAACACTTTGATTGTTTTCTTTCCTTGTGTACTTCTGATTTCAAATCATTTACTATATCATATCAATTCTTCCCTCATAAATTTCATCCTTTTCCATTTGCACTCAGTCACCATAGTACTGATCTTTGGCATTATTTTCAGACTGTTGAAATAACAAAAATATTCTTCTCAGATTTTTTTTTAGTTAAATACTGCTGTTAGGTTAAATACATTCTCTTACTCCCACTCATCAAATGGTGTGGAGGCCTATCCTCAGCTGTCAGTGACTTTTTACATTATCTTGTGAATTCTAAAGCCTAACAGATAATGCCTCAACTACACACCACAGTTCAACCTCCTCTCTCTAATGGTACCCCGTTAGTCCTCTGTAAAATTTCCTTTCAGCTAAAACTGACTGGATACCTCTGTATTAAATAGTATGTCTTTGTTTTACTTTGGACTATACTATCACATACTCTTCTTCCCTAAAGTTTGCTCTAATTCCTACTTGCTCTTCTTCCTACCTTATACCCCTTCTTTTTATGAATGGTACAGCTCTGCATTTACTGTTTTTGTAAATCTTTTTTCACAACTATATGAATTCTTCACACTTTGCTAGTAAATACTAGCTTTCCTAGCAACTGTCAGTTAATATTTTGCTGACTCTTTTCTATGTTTAAATTTGTTTTCTTAACTCACATGACAACTTAGGAAAGCTATGAACCTGTCATGTCTGTTTTTATACTCCTGAATGTAACCAGTGGAAAGTTTCTTTAAATTTGAAAGTCAGCATGTACCAATTTAAGATTTCCATGTTCTTGGAATTCATAATTTTAAACTTTGTATATTTTGTGACTATTTATTAAACAGACATTTTATAGGGATTTTCATAAATTTTAGGATTGTAAGCAAAACTTTTTTAAAAAAATTATTATTTTGTGGGGGAGCTCTGGTGGCCTAGTGGCAAGAAGCTGCACTGCAATCCCAGAGGAACACGGTTCGAATCCACCAGATGCTCTGCCGGAGAAGGAGGCGCAATATCCTCCTGTACCAGTCAGATCTGATTTGATGGTACACACACACAAAATAATTAAAAAAATTATTTTTTTTTGTGTGTGTGTCTGTGTACCGTCAGATCAGATCTGACTGGTACAGGAGGAGATTGTCCCTCCTTTCCTGGCAGAGCATCTGGTGGATTTGAACCATGCATCTCTGGGATTGCAGTGCAGCTTCTTGGCACTGGACCATGAGAGCTCCCCTAAGCAAAACCTTTTTACATGTGTTGAATACATTATAGTCTTATAAGAAAGAATTTACCTTTTCTATGTAAGGGGAAATACATTCATATTTTAAGAAGAAAATATAGAAATAAGAAATCATGGAATCATCCAACTGGCTTTTGTAATTTTTGGTCTTAAAATTTTTAGTTGACTTACTAAATAGAAAATTTCCATTTGGCAACTCAGCTAAGGCTAGGGCTTCTCCTTTTCTGCATCAAACACTATACTGTCTGCTTAAAGATTTCTTTTTGCAACAACTCTGATATGTATAATGGAAAATAGAAAAGGAAAGGTCCCAGTTATTAAGGGGTTATATTGGAAGTCTTTGCAGACATTTGGACATTTCATCTCAGAAGAACTAGAATGTAGACATTAAAGACATAAGACTGGCCTGGTTGCAGAATAAAAGGAAGTATCTGGAGGGCATGGTAATAAGCAATAGATGGCAGCACAGAGTATAGTATTGGATCTTGAATTTATTTTGACCTACAGTTAGGTGGTTTTTTGAAATAGTAATCTGATACTTAGAAAGGGAGATGGAAGTTAATTATAGTAAATGGAATTTTCAGTGAATACTGAACCTAATAAAGTTAATAAATATATTTAATGAAAAAAATATATAGGAAAAAATACTAAATAGCTTCTTGGGAAACAGGGCAGATTGATCTAGAAATTGTTGTTGTTGTGTGCCATTGAGTTGCCTGTGACCCATAACGACCCTATGTACAGCTTTCTGAACCCAGCTCTGTCTTGAGCCAGTCTCACTGATTCCAACACATCAATCCCCATTGCCCCAGTCACTGTATCAGTCCATTTCATTCAGGGTCTTCCTCTCCTGCGCTGTCCCTCTACCCTTCCAAACATGATGTTCTTCTCCAAGGACTGATCTCTCCTGGCCACATCCCCAAAGTATGTGAGATGGAACTTCAAAATCCTAGTCTCCAAGGGGAGACTTGGTTTAGAGAAACTATTTCTGCTATCCTTTTTGAGCATCTTCTTTATGCTAGTTATATTCATGCACTTTCATCTGATCTTCAAAGCAATCCTATAAAGTTGGTTAAAGATACTCAATTTTTACAAATAAGGAAACCAAGAAGATCAGATATTAAAGTGTAAAACAAAGACACATAAATTTGTTCACTTTTGGGTTGTTTTATTTTGTTTTAAGAATATATTATATGGATTTTGATAGCAATACTAGGAACAAGAACAAAATGGAGATTAATAATTAAGTAGGACTTAGAATTGCTTAGTTGGGAAAACAGACTTCAGGGGTAAATGAGCTTATTTTTGAAAGAACCAGTTTTAGCTTTTTTAGCAATTTGCAAGTGAATGACTGACTAACTCAGCTTGCTTGCTTCTTTTCTTCCATTCTTTTCTGTTGATTCATAATAGTCACATTGTAATAGATCTACTAAGTGAATCATTTAAAAGAATTCAAGAGCCTTAATAAACTTGAAGAATTTTAATTAAAAATGAATGATAAGTGTTTTGAGTACTTATATTAAATCAAATATGTATATGTAATTCTCTAATTATTCTTTTATGGGACCTTTTTACTTTTTTGTTTTAAGTTTTTGAAAAAAGTAATTTTCTCTTCTGAAACATTTACTAAAATAATAAGAACCATTTCCATATACCCTTCATCCATATTTCTCAAGTGTTACATGCTTATGTAATACAGTAAGGTTATAAAAACCAGGATTTTACCATTGATAAAATATTATTTAATATGTAGATAATTTTAAATTTTTAATTATCCCACTAATGTCCTTGTCTAGGATTATACTTTGCTGCCCTGTTGTTGTTAGGTGTCATTGAATTGACTTCAACTTACAGCAAACCTCTGCCCAACAGAATGAAACTCTGCCCAATACTTCACCATGTTTATAGTCTTTGCTATATTGAAACTCATTCTTATAGCCCCTGCGTCAAACCGTTGTCTTGAAGGTTTCTTTCTATCTTTATTGGACTCTACTTTTCCAAGCATGATGCCCTTCTCTAGGAACTGTCCTTTTGGTGATATGTCAGCAATATGTGAGACAGATTTGTACCTCCTTGATTTTGAAGAGTTCACTTCTGGTACTTCTTCCAAGATAGATTTTTTTTTTTGTGGGGTTTTGGTCAGTCCATTGAATATTTTTTGCCAGCACCATGATTCAAAACCTTCAGTCTTCCTTAATCATTTTTCAACTTTCGTAGTGTATGAAGCCATTCAACATCCCATGTTTGAGACAGGCACACTTCTCTACTCTTTAACACTTAAAGACAGCCTCAATACAATACTTGTTTGATTTATTGAATGTTGCTTCCATAGTTTTGATTGTGAATCCAAGTAAAATTCAATGCTTGACAAGTTATGAGCTGTCCTCTGTTTGCTGTCATGTTACTTTTTGTGCCTCAAACTCACCACTGCCAGGTCATTTCCAACTCATAGCAATTTTCATTGGATTTCCAAGGTTGTAAATAGTAATAGAGGAAGACTGCTCATTTTTCTCCTGTGCTGTATCTGGTGCATTTGAACTGTTGAAGATGCACAGCCTTTGGTTTAGTAGAGAAACTCACTACCCATGATGCCCTTACCAGTACAGAGTTTTTGTTTTCTTGATGTTGAATGTAACGTTTTTTTTAAACCTGTAGACTTTGATCTTCAGTGTCTCAAGTCCTCTTTATTTTCAGCGTGTAGTTATGTCACCTTGATAATGAAGTCTGTTTGTTGATAAATCTCCCAATCTTGAGCCACATTTTACTTAATTTAGTTAAGCTTCTCACGTTAGTTGCTCAGCGTACAGACTGAGTGAGAATGATGGGGAGAGTACAATCTTGACACACCTTCCTTGTTTTGTTTTTTTAATAAAAAAACCCCAACCCTTTGTTGTTCAACCATTCAGTATCCCTTTACTCTGCTTGAAAAACTACTTTCTTGGTCATATCAGGACAGTTAAATGTCCTAGAATTCCCTTTATTCACAGTGTTGTGTACCAGCACCACAATTCAAAGGCATAAATTCTTCCTTAGTCACCGTCCAGCTCTCTGAGGCATAGCAAGTAATTGTGCAGACCGTGGCCTGTGTCCGGTGCACCTTAGTCTTCTGACTGGG